ATCGTTCGCCCGAGATCAAGTCATCGTGACCCTTGGATCAACAACTTACACATCTACATCAAATTTGAAGACTGAATTAGAGGAAAATTGTAAACAAAGATTGTAACCTACAAATTCATTAATACAAATCTACTTTGTACACGAGTTCTTGTTTCATTTATCACAGGAATTTTCGTGTTTATAGGGTGTTTGTATTTTTGTTATCTGCTTTTGGTGAATTGAATGGTGAAAGTAAAAAACACATGATGTAAATGGTGAAAGGTGGTGAAACATGGGTGCTATAATAATGGGGTTTATCTACAGCCATTGTCAAATTCAGAACTACCCTTCGATAGGGAATTCAACTCCACCTTGCAATTTTCTGGGGATTTTATCTAGGCTTATTTTTAGCTATAGAACTGTAATTTGTATTATTATTTAGTATATTTTGATATATATTATGGTTTTAGATTGTTAGATGTTGGATAAATAATTCAACGGTTGAGATCTCACAACAGAACAATTTAGTGTATAAGATGATTTTTGTCTTATTCTTTATAAAATTCCATTTTAATCATATGCTCTCTTGTCTTGTGTTACCGTATTTCCTGTATTCATCATTCGTCTCTTTCAACCCTATTTCATCAACTAGGTTAAGAGAAACATTAATTCGCTGACTCTCTAATTTTTTCAGCAAAGATAATTGAGATAGGTCAAATAAATTGCAAGTTTTAATGACAAATTGCCAATCTTTGAGAGATTGAGCCATTTAGGATAGCCATGGAGGAAACTTGGGGTAATTTCACGAGGTTTTAGTTTTGGATAATGTTAGGAAGATCAAATTTCTAAGGTTGTTTTTGCTATCTCATTAATCCTAAACGTGAAGACGAGTTGCAAAGTCCAAAGAGCCCTTGTCTCGCCAGTGAAGTTAATGTGTCTTTCAACCTTGTTGACGGAGCGGGTAATATGGGACACAAAAATGTGTATATTGAGTAAAGTGAGACATAACAAAGTGTACAGAGTATGATAAGATTTTGTACAAGTACATGATTGGCTTCAATGCTACGTAACACTTAATGATATGAGTGTTTCAATTGTTAGTTTTGATTTCTAAAACTATTAGATATTTTATTTTCAACCTCAATTTTTAATTTTTCGTAACAGTCAATGTTACTGCAATAGAAGAAAAGTTGCTTTGTTTTCACCCACATTGGCTATAGGTGGTGGCATAAAAAAGTTGACAACTATTGTAGATAGTTACACCAACAACAAACGTACAAAAAAAATAATAATTAACGAATAATACCAAAAACAAGAAAAGTTGGGGAGGGAAGAGCTACGATGGGAAGAGCTGTAAAGAAGAGCAAAGCAGGTTTTAGTTGGCCTCATTATCTGTCTACGATTTCCTCATGAATTGGACAAATCGCCTCACTTTCTACTTGCAAATCCATAAATCATGTAGCAAGGTTATTGGTGGATGCTCAATCGTACGAGGGACAAGTCTTGTCATGTTTTCCATTTCTTTTGTGACGAATGCTGAGAGAGAGAGAGAGAGAGTTTTTACTTTTTCATTTTTGTTTTTGATTAAGGAGTGTAATTAGTTTTTAATTTTTTTTAAAAAGAGTATGAGACAATGATAATGAGATCTCTTAATAAGGGCATATTTTTCTTAATATTACATAATTACCATTTTACCCTCTTTATGTAAATGTTGTGTATCAAAAGTGAGGGTAAAATAGTAAAAATGGGGATATAATTGTCATTTTGTCAAAAGGTACAAAATTACTATTTTGCCCTCCTCATGTCAACATTGTGCATTCAAAAGTGAGGGGCAAAATTGGAAGAAAAGGGGGCAAAAAGTTGACAAGCCTTATTCTCTTAATAATATAGATAATAAAACACAAGGGGTTCATTTTGTCGTGAACTGAGGAGACTCATAGACACATTTCAGACTCTCCTTAGCCATCATCGTGTGATTCACACAACGTCATGAATTGAACTCAGAACATGCCATGTGAAATACAAGCCTAAAATTTGTTCCCAACCACTGGACAATTGGATATTGAAATCATCACAAATATGTATAATTTTTAATTTAACGTCCACATTAGTCAAACATGAGACTTACGCTAATCAAGTGTGAAACAACTACCCGGATATGCTAATTGGTCAAGTATGGTCATGTTGAGTTAGTAGCATTTGAGATTTGCAGACATAGACATAGTCATATTAAGTGGTAATTGGTCAAGTTTTGTCATGTTGTTTTACACAACATATCGGGGTATCTGTGCTGAACACTGAATATGTTTGTGTAAAAACATGCTGTGCTATTTGCAGATATCGACTTAGCCATATTGCCTAGTGCAAATGCGCTTCTTTTATTCACCTCTAGTTAAACTCTATTCATGCAGTTTAGATTTGTTAAAGATAAAAGGCTTTTTAGCTAAAATGGTCTCTGAGATTTGCATAACACATAACTTTGGTCCCTGAGATTGAAAATCAATAGAAATGATCCCTGAGATTGTTCACTATCCCTCATTTTGGTCCTTCCTTTAAAAACTCTTTGGGCAATTTTCAAAGCCTCATAACTCAGTCGTTTTTTAACCAAATTCAACCTATAATATATCAAAATGAAGATAGAAAAGTGTAGAACATGATTATACCTATTTGAAAGCCCAATGGTTGCCAGAGATGGCCGGAAAATAGCCTGAAAAGTGACTGGTCCGCGGAAAAACTGGAAAACTTGCCAGAAACAGGGTGAATTTTAAACATTCATAACTTATTCAATACTCAACGAAATCGAGTAATTGAAAAAATAAAATCATACTTTTCGACGATACGAAGAGAATGGTACCTTTCTTGATGGCTAGATGGCCATGGTTTGACTGAAAAATGGCTCGAAAGTGGCTTTCTTGGTCTCGAGTTAGCCACTTTTGAACCTTTTTCTGGCCAAACCACCGCAAATTAGCCATCGAGAAAGATACCATTATCTTTATCTCGTCGAGAAGTATGATTTTCGTTTTTTAATCACTCGATTTGGTTTAGTATTGAAGAAGTTATGAACGTTTAAAGTTTACCCAGTTTCCGACGAGTTTTCCAGTTTTCCCGCGGACCAGTCACCTTTCAGCCTATTTTCCGGCCATCTTCGGCAACCATTGGGCTTCCAAATGGTATAATCTTGTTCTACATTTCCCTATCTTCATTTTGATATATTATGGGTCAAATTTGGTTAAAAAACGATTGAGTTACGAAGTTTTGAAAATTGCCGAAAGAGTTTTTAATGGAAGGACCAAAATGATTGATGATGGGCAATCTCATGGACCATTTCTATTGATTTTCAATCTCAGAGACCAAAGTATGTATTATGCAAATCTCAAAGACCATTTTGGTTAAAAAGCCAAAGTAAAATATCACAACATAGACAATTCTAATAACAAAGTAGTTAGGCAAGTGGTCATTTACCACAATGGTGGAAAGATGTTGAGCCATTGCATGACAGCGTGAGGTCAGTGGTTAATCTAACTTCTAATCTAACAAAATCTATCGTTTGACCAAAAAAAAAAAAAACCCAAAGTAGTTAGAAAACCTATATGTGGAGAAGGGTATCCAATTTCAAAGAGAATATGGCCGACCTTGAGAGAGTGCAGGCGATACACCAACACATGCCCTGTAATGAAAAGAATTGATTAATAAGGTTCTTAATTAAAATTCCGCACATAGAACACCCGAAATCTTAGAACCGGTCATGGAAGAGAACACCTAAGCCTTCTATATTGATTAACAAAACTGTATCAGCAGCCCAAATATAGAAAACTGTATTATTCTTCCACTTGAACTTTGAATTCAAAAAGAAATTAATTTTGAGAGAATGTATAACGGTCTTGCTATTGACGCTTCAAAAATATCATTCTGCACTATTTTTTCACACATTTCTTTTTGTTTATATAAATTTAACTGTATGATGACTTTTTCCGAATACTAACAGCTCCCAATATTGTATGCGTGGTAGTCCGTCAAACCAAATCCATATCCTTCATGTCAAGGTGGTCCTTCGAAGTTCAATACGGTTTCTCACAAAATCTTCCATGGAGAAAGATTTGTTCCACAAGTGGAGAAAGATATACAAATTAATCAGTACACTTAATCACAAAAACCCATACAGAAATTCCCTTGAGCCCTGTGTACCTCCGGCCTAAATGTAATCCTACTAAAAAAAAATGCACTGTTTCAAAAATTTTGGTAGGCCAAATTCCCTATGGTCTAGTAATAGATGTCTATGTTTTGTTCGAGAAAGTCTTTGGTTCGATTCACTTAGATGAGAAATGCTAGCAACCTTTTTATTTACTCGTTCTACTTTTTTTTCTCACCTTACAATGTTGCAAAATGATCAAAATTGTCTGTTTTCTAGGTCACTCTTTAAAGATTTTTTGTACTAAAATTGAACCAAATTCGAAATCTTTTATTCATGAAACAGTTATTCAATAAATAGACTAACTATTTTATCAAACGATTAAACAATTGTTGATTTGATTGATTTTTTACAGAATTAATCTAATGATCTTTAGAGGATGAATTAGAGAATAAACAGTTTTGATCATTTGCAATATTACAAAATGAAAGAAAGAAGAGTCGAGAAAGGAGAGCGAAATGTGAGTAACATCGCCCACTCAAATATGAGAACAATATTTACGTGATGAGTTCGACAATATCACCGCCGTGCAATGACCTAAAAGCATGTTCTCGTACAACTTCCATTTCCCCGTGAAGTAAAAGAATAGCTGCATGCATGGTACTTCTAAGTTCGTATTAGTCACGATATGCATCATAGACACGATTAATTAATTTTTAATTGAGAAGTCGGTCAACTTCTTCCTTCAAAAGTAAAGCCAATTTTATCTACTTAACCAAATCCACTATACTTGTGGAGCTTAACGTTTAGCCAGAATAATATATATACTTTGATTAAAAAGCCAACCAAACCCAACAATTAATCTGTTCATTTTACTTGAGAGAGAGAGAGAGAGAGAGAGAGAGAGAGAGAATGGTTTGGAAGAAGGAATACTTAGATTTAATCTTGGTCCCAACTGGGTTGCTAATCATGCTTTGCTACCATCTTTTTCTTCTGTATAGATACCTAAGACATCCTGAAACTACAGTCATTGGCAATGAAAACCACTGCAGAAAAGCTTGGGTTGAGAGAATGCTGCAGGTCAGTATATAAGATTCCACTTTTAATCTTTCTCTTTGCTTAGAATGCGGGATGCAGATTCACAGTCTGACAATATCAGCATTTGTTAGACAAGTCTGGCAAGAGAAAACACAGTATATAACTCTATTTGGTCTTTAATTAATTGCAGGTTGATGCAAGGGACAGAGGTATGTCCCTAGCTGTAATCTCTAGCACCACAACAGCAGCAAATTTCTTAGCCTCAACCTCTCTAGCCTTAAGCTCTCTCATCGGAGCATGGATTGGAAACTCTTCGCACAATGTCTTCACGAGCACTATTACATACGGCGACACAAGTCCTACGCTAGTTTCCGTCAAATATATTAGCATTCTGGCCTGCTTCCTGCTGGCCTTAGCTTCTTTTTTACATTGTATAAGAGACTTTGTTCATGCCAATTTCCTCATCAGTATGCCAGACAGTGATATTCCTCAGGAGCATGTCGAGAAGGCGGTGATAAGTGGAGGCTTGTTCTGGACATTGGGGCTAAGAGCTATCTACTTTGCCACTACTTTGCTGCTTTGGATTTTTGGTCCAATTCCGATGTTTGTTTGCTCAGTGACCATGGTGTTGGTTTTGCACAGGCTTGATTCAAATTCCACTCCTTTGCATCAGTTCCGACCAGTTGGGAGACGTGATAATATGATCAGAAAAATTGATGAAGAAAAACACAGAATCGAAAGGGCTAATGCGCAACATGAAAAAAGATCACACATGCATGGAAGCACAACTCAAGAACCACCAGAACCAAGTACGAGATTAGATTCAGAGGCAACAAGTTAAACTCTAGCAGAAGATTTTGGAAATTGAGAGAGAGAGAGAGAGAGAGAGAGAGAGAGAGACAATCACATGTTTTGTATTCTAATTCCAATCTTAAAATTTTTATAGCAAACTTTGACATGATGTGATTTGGTGATTTTCGTAATTTACACTTTTGAGCATAGAAAACTGATTTTTGCACTCTCGTTTTTCTTTCTGTAAAACTCAATGAGCAAAGATACACAAACATTCATGGCAGCTGCTAAGAACCGCTTCATCTTTGACAAACATATATTAATATTGAATAGGATCTTGAGTGCAGAGAGATTGATCACGAAAAATAACACGGCCAGAAATGGCACAGATTTCATTCAAACAGTATATTTACCTAGAAATAAGCTGAAATGACAAAACCTGCTTCTGCGTCAATGTTGGTTCTACTCTATTGTGTTCCATCTGAACTTTGATCATCCTTATTGCTGTTCTCACCACTATTTGCGGGGCTTTCAACCGTTGAATTCAGTGAGCCTGACTGCTCCTTACCTTGAGTCTGAGTGTCTTCATTTATATCTTCCATGATAGAGTTGATGGCGAGCTGACCAGCATAAAGGACTAAACCCACAGCATTGATGCCGAACACAAATGTTGCAAGGTAGCACAACCCATTTATAATGGTCCTGCCAACAGAAGAAAAAAAAGGTGATCATTTTCCGATCAATTAAAAGCAAGGAAAACCGGAAGGAATTAGTAGTAGGAGCTACCTTATGGTTATTGTAATCTGACGAACCTGAAAAGTAGAAACACAAGTACAATGTTCAAAGGCCAGGATGGATTCAATGAAAATTAGCCAAGTTCACACACCAACAAGAATACAAATGAAAAGCGGTCTTGGAGTGCAATATTTCTACCACGACATTCAATTGGACAAAAAAAGAAGAAAAAAGAGCAAGAGCATTTTGTGCCTCAAGTCGTGTAAGGTATCACCAGTGATAGTACGAACTATTTAAGAACTTAACATTCTTAATCCTACGGTTCTATTTTGTATTTACGCTGAACTTAGAGCACACAGGTAATCCCAATACACAAGAAATGAAGCAACACGAATTCAGACGCAGTAAAAGTGCAAGGGATTTTATCTGGATCATTATTCTTTCCTATGGAATTGAGAGAAAATGTGATAGTAGCGTAAACTCATAAGAACCATTGTGTTGGTTAAACACAAAAAATATGTCCAGAACAGAAAAATCAAGGACACGAGCAATGAAGGGACAAACCGAAAAATTATCAGAAATAGTTTGGCGGTTGAGAGATGCTTCAATTGTAGTAGTGAACTTATAAAGAATAAGCGCAATGACGCCAGCTGATATTCCACCCAACAACGCCTGAACAGGTGACGGTGGACCTTTTGCTTCAACAGAACCTGTAGACAGTGCTTTCAGGCTATCCAAAGCCTCATCCTTCAATGACTTCTTCACTCCAGATGACCTATATTTCTAGGTACCAAAATCACTCCATCAAAGCCCACAAATTGGCTCACACTAACACATAAAAATTGTATTTAAAGTGAATGGAAAATTGTATCCCAATTTCTCAAAATCCAAAATTAACACATTAAAATTAAAGTACATATAATCAGTGAAAATCATTCCTGGCAAGTGGTGGACCGCCCGGGTGGATATGGCTTCCTCTTCAACCTGCAACGTTCTGGATTCAAACCCTCCCTCCAATTTGTGTAGCTTACAGTAGTGATTTGTTTGTAATTTAAAAGCATTCCCCAAAACTCCAAAAAACTTGTAATTGAAAGTAAAAGGCAATTCCCAAAATTCGAAACTTTAGCAATAACTACACACAAAAAACAGTAATTTGTACACAGTAATGAAGCGAAAGCTACAGTCTTTACCAGTTCTTTAGCACGCTTGGCACGGCGTCGCAGCGAGCGAAAGAGGAAGACAGTGATGGCTCCTGTGAGAAGAACACTGGTGGCCACTTGGAGAGATGAAGGGTCATCATTGGTGGCAAACACTGGAGAAGAAGACGGGGGCAATTCTTCGGGACCGTCTGGAGCAAATTCTAAGGGAGTGTATGGAGTTGCGGTGGTGGGTTCTTGAGCTTCGGCTAGCCATTGTTCGGGTCCGGCTCTGGAATGGGCTGAGACAGGGCAGAGACTGGTGGGTTTGTGGAGAAAGGTGAGAGGAAAAGGTGATAGATTGGGAGGTGAGAGAAAGTGGGTTTGGGGATGAGAGAGAAAGATGTGGAAATTGGAAAGGAGAAGGTGTTGGGTCTGCAACATTTGAGGGATTTTAGAGAGGGAGAGGGAGCTGAGCTGCTGAGGAGTTCAGTCGCGGCTGTGTTTTTTATTTTTGTTTCTCATCAATCAAAGATGACATCTTCTTTTGCATATTTTGGATTTTGGTAGGCTTATGAAAATATCTGTTATCCCCTCCAGACCTTCAACCATATTTCATGTGAACATTGATATATATATATATTGTAGGGCTAACGAATTTCAACATTTAGAGTATATTATTCATAAGTTATTTTTGTAAAAAATTAGACAAATTCTAAACCACTAATATATTCATTTGTATTAAGAAAAAAAAAGAATACGGTTATTCAAAGAAATTGGGTGTAGTCAAATTAAGATTTGATAGTATTTTAATAGATTTTAAAATCAGGATATAGTCAATTAGGAGTTTGAAGGAAGATTTTAAAAGATTTGAAAATCATGGTGTAATCAAATTAGGATTTGAAGAATACATTTAAACCCATGAATAGTGAATTAAAAATAAAAAAAATCCATACAAATCTAAGTACAGTGAAAATACCAAAAATTTGCTAAGATTTTTGTAAATGAAGGTTTTTGATGGATTTGAGGGTGGGAAGGATAAATACAAAACGTCATCAACAATCCAACCCTCCCCCTTATGATTTCTTTTCATGAGCAAAGACGATGAACAGTCCTACCATGAATTCTTCTCCACTTTTTCTTTCACTTCTTTTTGTCCTTCCTCCGCAGGTTTGAGGATATATCTACCATGGTTCTGATGCTTGGTCTGTTTCTCATACTATAATTGGGGCTGCTGTCGTGGGAAAAAAATAAGGGGTGCTACATTTTAGCCACTGTAAATGGATTTGAAAGAGAAGGTGGAGGAGGGGGATGGAGAATCTGATGAGTTGCAGAAGCTGGATTTGAAGGAGGTGGAGGGCGGATAAGGAGTAGAAGAAGAACAGAAGAGTTCTAGTGAGAGAGGTTGAGATTGTAAATAGAGAGGAAAATGAAAGGCAAAGTGAGCGATGATGCAACCATCGTTCTGATGTTTAGGAATCAATGTTGATGGGTTTTAGGATTTTAATTAATGCCCAATTTCTGATTTCACAAAATTCCTAATTTTTTAGGGTTTTAAGCCTTCAGTTCAGTTAATAGAAAAGATGGGAGCTTTGGATAATTTCACATAAACTTATGTAATTTCATATTTCTGACTTGAGTTGTAGGTTTAGATGATTGTACGTAAATGTCTGGATTTGATGATTTGAAGGTTGCATGTAGGTTGTTTGATGAAATGCCTGAGAGAAATATGGTTTCTTGGAATGTAATGCATGGTGGGTATTGGAAGGGTGGGAAGCCAGAGTGTGCTTTGAAGTTTAGAAAAATGGTGGGCATGGGATTGAAGGGGAACGAAAGGATCACGGTGAATATGCTTGCATCTTGTGATCGGTATGCTAGATGGAATGAAGGAAGGTCAAACAGAGGAGACTCGTAACTGAACACGCATTGGAGTTGTTTAGTCCTAGCCGCATGATTTCATTAAAAATGATCCGGTTCTGCATGTGATTTTCAATTTTTTCAAAAATTCTTAGAAACCCATGAAAGAAATCCATACAAATCCACAAAAATCGTAATGAAAATCTATGTAAATCTGCCAAATCCATATAGGATTACAAAGTCTATTAAAATCCTCTGAAATCTGTCACTTAAAAAAAGTCTATTAAAATCCTTTGAAATTCAAATTAACTACACCCCCTTAATTTAATCCAATAGACATATGGTTTTGGTTTTGCGTAAATTTTAGAGACATGGTCTTTGAAGTAAGACATAAAACTAGAAAAATTTGATCCCAGAAATACATTATAGAGTGAGTCACATACAAATGTGTATCAAAATGTGAGTTAAAAGGGTGGCCTTGGATCCTAACCATATATATATATATATATATATATATATATATGTATTTGTATTATATGTCCTGTTGTTTTAATTTTATTTATTTAATTTGATGATGATAAATAAAGAGAGAAGTGTGAAAAGCTTAAAAGTATGCGTGAATTAGCCAAGTTAGAGATTTTGATTATCTAATTGTTTTCTATGAAAACAGAAACGCCCATGAACGTAAATTAGAAACATTTATGCTCATTTGGTAACGTTTTACAAGACCGGTTTTTGAAACACTATTTCACAAAATGAATAAGTGTATGTTAAGTGAAATAATACAATTGAAAGTGTCGCATGAGAGCGGATCATTGAGATTATACAATAGCAACTCCATCTTCCTCTCTGTCTCACACATGATTTTTTTTAATCCAATGATTCAATCTGATCATCAGAGTTATTGAAATTGGATCATCAGAGTTATTGAAATTGACCAAATTGGGTCGGATTAATTGGTTTGGGTAGATTATTGGATGTTACTTTTTTAAATGAATCGGACTACATAATCGATTAGTATGTAAATCAAGTTAAAATTCAGAAAAGAAAAAAAAAAAAAAAAAAATCCCTAGCGCACATTAGAAGCCACAGATCTAGCCCAGAACTTGATTTGTGCCTTTATATCTTCAGTAGACCTAGTTGCACCCAAAATTGGAGGTGGCGGGGCTGCGCAGCTTTGCGCCAACCACACCTCGGAAAGATAAGGCCTCCTAACATGTATCAAGTTCAAATCTTCACTCCTCTTCTTTTCCTGCAGACCGGGAAGTATGTTCACCACATTAGGGCTCAACTCTTTCGTGTCAAATGTGAACCCCAAGTCCTTGAACCCTTGCAGTTCTTCAATTTCAAGATCACTTAGGCTCTTTCTCGTCGTCAGTTGATTAGGGTACCGTAGTCTTATTTCCTTAATCCCATCTGTACTACTCATGTTGCTTTCCCCTACTGTGTTTTTGGGGGGTTTATATCTTGGAATGGTAGAACATTGTGTCATGAGCCCCTGCAATAATCAAGCGTAACAACATTGTAAGATAACAACAATAAGTTAATTAAACCGTCGTTATATATTGAGTTGTTAATGTCGCTCCACAAAAGTCATCTGCATCCCTTAATATCAATTTAATGCATAAGCAAGCAAACCTGGCGAGTGCATGGTGACTTTTTTGAATCTATTAATTCATAATTTTAATTAACGTATATTTCTAAACTAAAAACGTGATGATAATAGCTAGCTAGTACCATGTGTTTTCGCGGAACACTTTCCAGCTTTCTCTCTTCTCTTCCTCGACATGGTGGCAAGGAAGGTGTCCTGAGCAAATTGTGACGCACCAGTTGCCCATTTACTCTACTTCTTCTGATATCACTTTCTTTATCCTGAACTCCTTCTGTCCTCCTCCCTATACAAACCGACGGTTGGGTTGGTGTCTGCACCATCTTCTGATGCGACGTTTCCCTTGTCAATTTGCTCACACTGCTCTTACCACCACTTTGCTTCACTTGAACACTCTCCTGCCTCCCTATATGAAGAGGCAATGACGGCGTCTGAACCAAATTTGGACCGGCAAATCCATTGCCTTCTGTGGCCTTATTCGCCTTCACTGACATTCCTTGACCAAAACCTGATGAGTTGCTATGAGGATCAGAAAAACACCTTTGCATCTTCTGTTTCCTGTTGAGCAAGTTATCAAAATACCAACACTCTTCCAAGAGATCATTGGCTTCTTCCACGTTGTCTTCTTTCATACTTGCAGATTGGTCATTTGGGTCATCACCAATTGGCTCCATGGCTCCACACAAAAGGAGTTCCTCTCAGATTTCAACCAGTAAAAGAGACCCATAATATGACCTTTAAATTAAGCTGCAAAATAGTTTTTTTTTTTTTTTTTTTTTTTGTTTTTGTTTTTTGTTTTTAAGAACTAAATTAAATTGTGAGCAAATACAGCTAACTGGGGGCTGACTGGGGATGCCATGTGGGGGAATGGAACCATGTGCTTTTAGGACATAATTTTTGGAATAAAAGCATATGTTAATGTGGATACATATGCATTTGGACAAGAGGGTCCATGATGTGCACTAAGTGTTTTTTTTTGCAAAAAGGGACTTGCTGGTGGCGAAGTCACAGTGCAATTCATTCTTTTGAGTATCGGGAAGACTCAAAGAAGTATTTTAGCTTTTTCTTGGCCGCTATTATGTGATTCACCAGCGCTAAGAATCGAACTCAGAATGAGTTTAGTAGATTAGTGATTTGAAATTTGCCCCAACTACTGAGCTACCTTGTGATAATTCATGGTGTGCACTAAGTGGAGATAGAGATAAGATTTCAAATCAGGGAATGTGGCATTTAAGGTCATACAACAACTAAGAAATATGAAGAAGGGTTCAATAACTTATGTCAATGATAGGGCCATGCCAGCTGCACACTCCCCATGTGGTGAACTTTTGTTCATAGAGAATGCACATAATTTTTCTCCCTAGAATACATATGACAGCTAAGGTACTAGGTGTTAAATAAATACAAAATAAACATTTCTCCTCCGACAAAACAATATGGAAGTTGGCAGTTTTAGAAAGAACACAAACTTGTGTTGCTGAAATAGAGAGATTGATAAATGCATAATTGAACTTAGTTAAGTTGCTTGGGATAATATGTTTCTTCTTCTACATTCGAGTTTGAATTCTAAAAATTCTACCATGCTAATTTATGTCATATACACCGGGTAGTAAAGAATCCAACGGTCTAAAATTCCTTGAGAAATCAAATTCATAATTGCAAGCCAAGAAAAATAACGGATGGTAACTGCAATATGGTACAAACAACTTTCATGGTGCAACCGTGCAAGTGGGCATGCAGAGATCAATTTTTTTATTCAAAACTAGTCGTGCATCTGAAAGCTGATCAATTACTGAGGAGCTAGCTTGATTATTCTTACAAATTAAAATTAGAGAGTCGCGACGTTGATACTAAGATTAACAACCAATTCTTTCTCTTTTGTTCGAATATAGAAAATTGAGGATAGCCAAAGGTCCGTTCAACAGATTGGCAACAAACGAAAAGGGAGTCCTACTCCTTATCCTGCACAGATAGAACGCAGCTGATGCCGCTTCCACTACCACATTGCCAGCACACACAAGGGTAGCTACCCTAAGAGAATCAACTACGCGTTGGATTTGATGCCGACATTGTAACACAAAAATTTCCAACCCACAACAATAAATCGTCCTAACTAGATTTTGCTCCAAAACCGTTGTACTGGAAGAGAACAACCAGATCCAAACCGCATTCACATACCCCTACAAAAAGAACCAAAAACAAAATCAATTGATAAGAGATGGGGCTAAGGGGCATCTAAATCACCCTCACTTTGGTTAAGCCCCCGCAGCCATAGACAGAGCTACTATGGGCCTTGGGGGCGGATACCCCCACTCTTTTGTGTGTGTGAAAAAAATGTACAGATTTGTTTCCAATGACCAGCCCTAATTAAACTATAATTAAAAAAAAATGGGTAGACAATTAAAATAATTCTACCATTTTGCATATACAATGCCCCACGTGATGACAATTAAATTAATAATTAACTTACTTGCTTTGACATCAGCATTAACTCTTTCAGTTGCTACTGTCACCATTGAAAGAGCATTTTCGACCATGAAGGTTTTGAATAATCGGTATTGGTAATGATGTTGTCACGCAACGCTTTCAAAACATGAAAACGCGTCGAGAGATATTGTAACAGGTTGTATGAAAAAATTTATAGATTAATATATGTTTTTTTTTTCCAGTAAATTCTTGAGCCTTTTCACTGTAACCTTGAGGATGCTCCCGCTCATGCAAATCCCTGGCTTTGTCCTTGGCCGCATCATGCTTGTCCCCGAAATTCCATCATATGCCGGTGAGGCGACGGGTAGGTTGGCTGCAAAGATGGATGTCAGGCGAGAGTCAGAAATAAGTTCACTCCCCTGTAAAGATGGCTGGTAGGTTGGCTTCGGACATCAATTAAATCCCATTGAAGAGGACCACCGGCGATCTTGTAGAGAAGTACTTGGTTAGGCAAGTATTATCCTCATTGTTTCTAACCGTCTTTAATTACCAAAATCAAAAAGAAAATATCAATCATGTTCTATGTATGTATATATAATATATTAGCTAGTAACATTACATAATGTAACTCATTTATAAATTTAGTCAAGTTGGCTAAAGTAGTGTGCTTCATCCTTTGCTCACAAAAGTTTGAATTCCCTTCGCCGTAGTTTAGATGAATTTAGTATTGTATCGAGTTCAAATCAGATGTGTTCACTACCAGCATGGTTTGATGAATACGGATTATTCCTGTGTCGAGTCCGCTACCAACAAATTAAGGGTAAAAAAGGGCGGGGCACTATACTCCAAAGAAATCACGCCAAAAAACACTCAGAAAGACATGGGTTTCATGTGTGCAGGCATAAAATGTTAAAAAAAAAAGGGGCAGGGGCTCACGAGATTGAGCATTCATCAAACCCAGCATCCTCTATTATAAATAAAACGAGAGATTGAGAATCGATGATAGAGGAGAACACACACAAAAATGGAGCAACCCGATCGTGAGTTGATGAGCTCTAGTTTTCACATAGCCATGTTCCCATGGTTTGCAATGGGACACATGACTCCATTCCTCCACCTCTCTAACGAGCTGGCCGCTAGAGGCCATAAAATTACTTTCTTGTTGCCCAAGAAAGCTCAAATTCAGCTTCAACGTCTCAATCTCCATCCACACCTCATCACCTTCCATCCAGTCACCGTCCCTCACATTGAAGGCCTCCCGGACAAGACTGAGTTTGTCTCCGAAATCCCGCTATCTTTGAGCCATTTTCTCACCCTTGCCATTGACCGCACCCGTGACCAAATACAGGATTTTCTGAAAACAAGTGTTGCTGACTGTAAAGTCGACATGATTTTCTTTGACAGTGCCCATTGGATACCAGAGATCGCAAGAGGGCTAGGCATTAAATCCATTTTCTATGGTGTCATTTCCGCGGCGGCATACGCACTTTCTCTAGTTCCGATATGTAATTACGTGACCAAAGATGCATGCATGGCGCCCATGATAATGACTGAAGAACAACTGAACCCACCTCCTGGGTACCCATCGTCAACTGTGATATTGACGCGTAGCCACGAAGTTCGGTCCTTGATGACATCAAGATCATGTGGGGTTGGGATTAGAGTTAACCAGAGGCTTATCACAGGATTCAGAGCGATCAAAGAATGTGACGCCTTCTGCCTTAGAACGTGCAGAGAGTTCGAAGGTGACTTTTGCGATTACTTGGAAGCACAGTTTCAAAAGCCAGTGCTTTTAACCGGACCCGTATTGAGCCTGGAAAAAGGACCAAAATTATTAGAAGAAAGGTGGGCTGATTGGTTTGCCGGGCTTGAAGCCGGATCAATGGTGTTTTGTGCATTTGGAAGCCAGTGGGCATTTGGAAAAGACCAATTCCAAGAGCTCGTCTTAGGGTTTGAGTTAACTGGGTCGCCATTTTTGGTAGCTGTGAAACCGCCATTGGGTTGTGTGACAATTGAAGAGGCATTGCCTGAGGGGTTTGAAGAGAGGGTTAGAGGGAGAGGAGTGGTGTTTGGGGGCTGGGTACAACAGCCTTTAATCTTGAGCCACCCAGCAGTTGGGTGCTTTGTGCACCACTGTGGGTATGGGACAATGTGGGAGTCTTTGATGAGTGAGAACCAGATTGTCCTGGTCCCACAATTGGTGGACCAGATCTTGGGAGCCAAGTTGCTGGCTAAAGAGCTCAAGGTTGCAGTGGAGGTAGAGAGAGAAGAAGATGGGTGGTTTTCAAAGGAAAGTTTGAGCAAAGCTGTTAAAGGTGTGATGGATAAAGAGAGTGATGTAGGTGTTATGGTGAAGAAGAACCATGCAAAGTTTAGGGAAATAATATCGGAGCCAGGGTTTATGAGTGGCTACGTTGATAGGTTTGTTGACAATCTGAAAAAGCATGTTTAATTAATCTCTTTGATGTCTTTTTAACGTCTTTGATGTATAGCAGTTAAAGTTTATGTCAATAATAATACTTGGGTACTAAAAATTGAGTAGGAATTGGAACTCAAAACTTTCCATTGCTAATTCTCAAAACTTGTACTTATAATCTGAATCAATCGTATTAGAAATCATTTTGTAAGGATACCTCTGCCAAAAATCTATCAAAACAAAGTCTGTTTAGTTAATCTAACTATACTTGTTATGATAAACTAGCATCATATATCCTAACCAAATGCACAGTGTCCCTAACCATCAAATCTTATTTCCACTCGACGCACATTAGCCAAACTACAGCCTAAAAGGCATTTCCAGCCCAACAAATCTTTGCTTCAGTTAGCATGCAAAACCCTAGTTCATAAAACACCAAATACTACAATTTGAATTGGTTACAATAAATTCCCTCCATACAAATGGAATGGCAAAATGCAAAATATAGTTCAAAGAAATCGAAGCAACCATGTAACTTTCGACTCCAAATTAATGACGAGTGTCGACTGGAAGACCGTGGCATGAGTAGCTTCAGCACATCTCTTCATACATGTTCATGTCACAACTATAGAATTCTACCCAAGGCTAAAAGAAGTGATACAAAGCGGATAAGAAATGTATACAGCTCAAAAATAAACATCTGAAAATCGATCCATCTTAGGATTTACCAGATGTGCTTGTCTGGTTTCCAACTTTGATGGCTGAATCAATCTAAGACCCAATGCTGAACTTACAAAATTGAAAAACGTTGTGAAAGCTGCAGTTTAGACAACTTCAACCAGACAAGTCCTAGAGCCCCTTTCAAGCATTAATTCTTTGTACAACTCATCATTGTCAACAGTCATCTTAGTCAAAACTTTACCGCTTTTTAACAAACACTTTGCCACTTTCTTCACATGCGGATATCCCTTGAGTCCCCTTATAGTGATAGTCTTGAGGTGTCCTGTCACACAAATAGGCACAGACTCTGGTGTACTCCATAGATCCTCTTTTGAGTACCTTTCAAGCTCCTCATGATCCTCAATGCATTCCTCATCCTGAAAAGTACGAATGATGAGAATACTAGAGAGCATCAAGTTGTTATGACTTAGCATGAGAGTAAATACATCTTACTTCTTCATATTCAATGACAAGTGATGCCAAATTATTTGATTTCTTGAGCAACTGTGTTAGCAAATCCCAATGATAGCAATCGAAAACAAGCAACTTCAATTCGGTCAAATGATTGAAAGTAGGCAGACAACCCTGTTTCACGAAATATCAAAAAATTGATCAAACACATCCTCATCATGCAGACAATAAACATATCCTCATCATGCGGATAAATCACTCCTTCAATGTACTAATGCATATGCTATTTCAAAGCATAAGTTGTCAAAACGTAATATAGGTTTCAGTTACAAACACCACTTTGTGTTATAAACACTACTTTGTGGTACAAAGAAAGAATGATGTACAGGGTAAAAGGATAGGAAAAACGCGGCATGCCAGGGATGTGTATTTGCCTCATGTAATTAAGGAGAGAAAGAAAATGTGTGCACGCAAACTTTTCCACATTCGTTTCGTACATAAAAGGTAATTAAGATCTAATTCTGAAAAAGATAATAATATAAAGCGTAGAAACAAGATGAGAATTTTATTATCCAACTACATTGCTGTTTCTTTATTATTTCCTTCTTAACCCAAAACCAAAATACTATTTGATTTCTTCAATCTGTCCAACTTTGAAAGGATATAAAAGATGGGTTTATATGCATGCCTGACTGCTCCAGTCTTCCTCTTTATAAATGAAGGGAAAACATATCTTCCCTTCTTCTCTGAAAGAACCCCCGCCCTCCTTCCTATTTTCCTCTCAACCAAAAAAAGTGTACAAGAAACGAGTTGAGGAATATACTTACCGCCACAAAATGAGCTGAAATAGACAGATATTTAACATTGGCAAATGTCTTCAGAAGCGCAGTTGCTCGTTCAAAGAAGTGACGCTGGAGTTTCCCAAGATGGCAATAGAAATCGACACTGCCTTTGACTGGGGATTTTAGATTCACAAATGAATAATTTGACAAAAAGTCCTGCTTAATGTCAAGCTGTTCAAGCTCTGGAGCATTAATAGAAATGTAGTACTTTGGATTATTATCATCATAGAGATCAGTTAAGAAGGTCATTTTTAATCTCTTCAGTTTAGGAGCAGAGACCTTAAAATTCCAAAGCCTACCATCTGTGACACATGCAAATAGAGATAAATCTTCAAGTACAGGGCAGCACGAAAAAAACTTTTCCATTGAGTCAGCTTCAGGATTATCAACTCTGATATCAAGGACCTTGAGGCTTGGGAAACAGCCTGATGTAGGAGGAGCATAGGTAATAAAATCTGACTTCACCTTCAAAACCTCCAGTGTTTTGCACATGAATACACGTTGAGGAAACTCCAAAGGCGGGTCCTCTTGATAATCATCACGATGTGCTTGAACACAAAGATCAAGTTCAACGACATTACGCCTAATGGCAGCGCGAATCCAACCATCAATACGAGGGGCATCCTCAACACGACAGTAGCAATGAAGACGGAATTTTTTAACAACTGAATTGCCACGAAAGTAGAGTACACGATCAACAAATGTCATAAAATCGACATGGTCAGACACATGTTCGTCTTCCCATGTGATACCATCAGGGAGGGACACAGAATCTCTCCATACGATAGGTAAAGTTTCAAATTCGCAGTCTAGATTGGGGACAGAAGCCCAAATGCTCTCCCATCCTTTAGACAGAACGCAGGTCCTCACAACATCTTTTGCTGGAAGAAGGGAGAGTATGCCATAAAGAAGTTCCTTTGGCAATTCACTAATCCTATCTGCAACCATGGCTTGAAGCTTTGAACCCGTTTTTATTACCCTGTAAATTTCAAAAAGAAGTGAAATTTACTTTCTATCTATCTACCCATGAAATCCATCTTTCGAATTGAAAAAAAAAAGACCCATGAACAAAATAATCAACGCAACAAACCCTAGGAACTGCATTCAATCTTGAATTTTCTATTGATGATATCTCAGTTTTCTCGGTAACCAAACAGATGATAACGAAGTGAAAAGAAAGGATTGCGAAGAAGAGAAGTACCTTGAATGTTCTGAAATGGAGAAATTGAGAAGCTCAATTGCATCAAGAACGACTGCGTTTCGACCTTTGCTGCTGTAACTCGCTCTCTTTGAAAAACCTTCTTGCTTCGCTCTGCTCGCTGTTTGGGCTTTTCAGGAGGGGGGAAAGAAAAGATATACCAGTTTTGTATTTGTCTAATTGCCCAATAGTCCCCGTACTTTACCAGAATTTTCAGTTTCACTCTTGCCGTTTTGTTTGTTTCACTTTCGTCTTTGTGTTTTCATCCTGTTTAGCAAAGTTAGTTAATCCTTGATCCCTCAACAACATACTTTTTTCTCTCTCTTAAAAAGATGACCTGGCTTCGCCATAGTAGTTCACTCTTTTTGGAGGCCGGAAAGACTCATAATGATATTTCAACCTCAACAACATACTTGGTTAGACCAATTTTATTTCGATTCCTTAGGTAATGCCTTAACCCTAATTTTACAATTTTCTTTGGAGTAAATATTGATAGTTGAGTATGAAAAGATTTCAGACTACGAAAACTTGTCGAGGACAATATGCATTGAAATGTTATATGACAATGCTGTGAATTTTGTGTTTTAGATGAGTTAATTCTATTTTTCTCTAATACTAAAGTTATTTAGGGTTGAACCTCCATGAATATGGACAACTCTATTCTTAAAATGCTAAGGGTATCATATTTTTGTACCACAATTGTAAGTCATCTGATGTGATAAGTGATATGTACATGTCATTTTAATTAATGAGTTTATTTCATTGAATGTTGGGTTATGCATCATCATGTGGTAAGCTAATACGGTACAAAAATGCTAACATTACTTTTTATTACACCCCCTCAAGTTTACGAAAGTCACCATATATATATATATATATATATAGATAGATGAACTAAAGAACTTTATGAGATCCTCAAGAGAATGGATAAACAAACACCCTTTTTAGCCTCATACATACCCTTGTTCAATCATGCATGTTGTTTCTTTTAAATCATTCAATCTTATGGTAAGAAATAAGGAGATTTGTAAGAAACTAAAAATGATGCGTAAAAACATCTCTCAAGCCCAAAATCTGGTATATCAGGTGTATCCAATACCAGCGTGAGTTCCATGAGTGCATATCATTTTTCATGTGTGGAAACCACCACCAGCAAATTAAGGATAAAAAGGAGAGGGACTAAACTCCAAAGAGGTCACACCAAAAAACATTCGGAATTCCAGAAAGGCATGTGTTTCATGTGTGTAGACATCAAATGTTCAAAATAAAAGGGCAGGCCTCACGAGAGAGTGAGAATCGTTGATAGAGGAGAGCACACAAAAATGGAGTTGGTGAGATCTAATTTTCACGTAGCCATGTTCCCATGGTTCGCAATGGGACACTTGACTCCGTTCCTCCACCTCTCCAACGAGCTGGCTGCCAGAGGCCATAGAATCACTTTCTTGTTGCCCAAGAAAGCCCAAACGAAGCTTCAACATCTCAATCACCACCCACACCTCATCACCTTCCATTCAATCACCGTTCCTCACGTCGAAGGCCTCCCAAAGAGCGCTGAGACGGCCTCCGAAATCCCTCTATCTTCGATCCATTTTCTCACCATTGCCATGGACCGCACCCGCGACCAAATACATGCTTTCCTAAAAGCAAGTGCTGCTGATCCAAAACATATAATCGACATGATCGTCTTTGACCTTGCCCATTGGATACCGGATATCGCAAGAGGGCTTGGTATTAAATCCATTTATTATGGTGTCATTTGCGCGGCTGTATACGCGGCTGCTCTTGTCCCAGCACCAGAATGTAATAGTGTGCCCATGACAGTGACCGAGGAACGACAGCGGAGGAACCCACCTTCTACGTACCCATCATCAACCGTGGTAATGACGCGGGACTATGAAGTCCGGTCCTTGATAGCCATTAGGGAGCCGTGTGGAGAGGGGGTCACATTTTACCAAAGGGTGATCACATCCACCAAAGAATGCGATGCGTTCTGCCTTCGAACGTGCAGAGAACTGGAAGGTGATTTTTGCGATTACTTGGAAGCGAAGTATCAAAAGCCTGTGCTTTTAACTGGCCCTGTATTAGGCCTCAACAAAATCCCCCAACAATTAGAAGACAGGTGGGCTGAGTGGTTTGCTGGGTTTGAGGCTGGGTCTCTGGTATTTTGTGCAGTTGGAAGCCAGTGGATCTTTGAAAAGGACCAATTCCAAGAGGTTTTGCTAGGGTTTGAGCTAACTGGGTTGCCATTTTTGGTAGCTCTGAAACCGCCATTGGGTTGTGAGACGATTGAAGAGGCACTGCCCGATGGGTTTGAAGAGAGGGTTAGAGGGAGAGGGGTGGTGTTTGGGGGCTGGGTGCAGCAGCCATTGATCTTGAGCCACCCAGCAGTAGGGTGCTTTGTACACCACTGTGGGTTTGGGTCGATGTGGGAGTCTCTGTTGAGTAAGAAGCAGATTGTGTTGGTGCCACAATGGCCGGACCAGATCTTGGGAACCAAGTTAATGGCTAAAGAGCTCAAGGTTGCAGTGGAGGTGGAGAGGGAAGAAAGTGGGTGGATTTCAAAAGAGAACTTGAAGGAAGCCATTAAAAGTGTGATGGATACGGAGAGTGAGGTGGGTGTTGTGGTGAAGAGGAACCATGAAAAGTGGAGGGAAATAGTATCGGAGGCAGGGTTTATGAGTGGCTATGTTGATAGATTTGTTCAGAATCTCAAACATATTGTTTAATGTTGTTTGTAGATTAACTTCTCCACCTGGATTATGTCGACTTTTACTGTCTTTGACATCTTGATGTTTTTAACGTACAGTTGAAGTTTATCCAACGACTAATCGTTACCTATTAATAGATGAGAGTGGCATTATTGCCTTGATGGTTAAGGCATTCCTCTCCAACTCGTTGACTCTCGGGTTCAAACCTATTCCCCTCCTGTTAATGTAGTTTAGAGTGCGACTATCGCTTGGATTAAAATCAAATCACTCATTAAAATCAAAGAAAAGTTTCCGTACAGGTGTTTCCCCCTATCATTTTCGTATTCCAAAAACTTGTCTCATGGGTTAGTAACAAAACCATATCATGCACAAGTCCAACTGAACTACTTGCGTATGTAAAAACGAATGAAACAATAGTGTCCAAATCTGCTAACTACATATGGCGACTGGCTCCTCAGGAAGAGCGAAAACTCCACAAGTATACTTTGCAGAAAATAGTTCAGACCACCAAGTCGATAACTACTAATTTCATTTTCAAAGACTCGAGAAAATTTGCACGTCTAAATTCCGCGACGGCACAAAACTTTGCCAGGGGTATAGCAAGCAAACCCAAGCTGTGAAACGATCAAATCAATGAAAAGGCTGCTCGGCCATTAGTATCAACTCTATAAGAGAACAGAGGCACAGGGTCTCGAATTTACAGTGGAAAGAAACATCCTTCTCAGGATCCATATGAATCAGTACACCATCTCTGAAAATAAATTTTGGATCAAACCTGCGACGAGTAGTCGGGGAAGCATTTGCCTTCGTTGCTGTGTCCTCAATGATGGTGTGGCATTTACATTCCACTGGCAAAAGACTCTTAGTTCCTGAATTTTTGCAGTGACATGTAACTGCTTCCGGCCATTTGAACTTCTCACTATTTCTGTCTCTCATTTTGTTATCCGCTGAGTTGCTGAATCCTCCAGAACCGACAATTCTTCTAATGGCTGAAAGAAGATCAACAGACGCTGATGCAACGATATCATGAGCATCCTCTATAGTGCATTGGCTCTTATTTGATCCCCATTTGTGAATAAGAATTTTATGTGTCAAACTGTGGAGGGTATCTAGGCATGTAGGGCAACAACGATAATAGCATAGAACCCCAGACTTGGTAGGGAGAAATGTTTTGTTCAAGGTGTCAACGCCTACAATATGCTCATTGGCATCACACTTACCATTATCAAGTATAATACCAGCCTCCATTGAGGACAAACCGTTAACCTCGTTGCAGATGGCCCTAGAGCTTGAGAGCTTAATGCTGCCAAATTCACCGGAAGTAGAACCATCCTCAGAAATGACAACAGATTCAGTGCGGTCAAATCCATTTGAATGTTTCAAGGATCCAGAATCTCCACTCACTTCGACATGGTTTCTGTCATTTTCTGATTCATGCGGCTTAGGGCTTGTCCCATTCTGATCATTCAAACTTTCATTGGAACCAAGAAGAGATTTATCCAGGGTAGAATCCATTACGACGATTTTCTGTCCAGACAAATCTGAAATTGCAAGTCTACCCTCAGAATCAGGATGACCCAACTCACCATCTTTGTTTAAGTCAACACAACCGACTTTTTCAGTATCAAACCCTTGAGGGACACTTTCCGGCTCTTCAAGCTTGTCGGGCATTTGCTAGTATTATTTGGCGTGGGTTCCTCAGTTTGAACTTGTCCATCCACATGGTGATCATCTGGAGGTCTCACATCGTCACCTTTTGGAGGTCTCACATCAGTTAGCTTAGCATTTTCCATTTTCATTGGAGCATCCAACTCTAAACTGAAATGGGAGCAATCATTATTAGATAACCCAGGCAAACAAAAAAATATAAACAAATCCACAAGTACACTAATTGCAATAGAAGCATTTTACCTATGGAGCGTGTATGCCCAGCTATTAACCACGTCTTCCAGATAGGCCACTTGTGACAAAAGGCGAACATATTGATATCTATCTTTCCCAGCCTGAATCTTTGAATTGACCTCGGCAACTAGAAGCTCAAGAACCTTCCGTATCTCGAAGGAGACTTCCCTGAGTGACGTATAGACACCTCTATATGCCGATAAACCAACAGCAATAAGGCCTCTAACTAGACCAAATTTTTCTTTGCTTTTAGTATTGCTGGAGCTACAAGCAACAGCTACCTTTTCAATTGAGTTATTAGGTCGAATTATACAAGGATTGAATGGCCAGCCCTTCCAAGGTCCACTTATGTCTGCAGAGGGACCTTCTTTGAGTTTTGAAGTAAACCAACAAAGCTCAGCAAAATGAGGATATTGCAGAATTTGATAGCCAAATGAAGATATTGCAAGAAGCAAGTTTGACTTCCCCTTCACACTTCTATTGTCAGGCGGTAGATGAACTTTAAGAAGAGATTCATCAGGACCCTGTGTTACACTGTTGTTGACATCAGCTGATCCATGAACTGTACTGTGATTAACCATCTCTGATTGATGCTCCCGAGGATCACAAGTTCCATACTCCTGGTATGAAGTTGTATGGATGTGGGACTTTTGATGAATTAACAGAACAACCTGTTGAACTATATCCCTTAATAACTCTTCTGTGGATAGATCGATCACCAAATCATGGTTGAAATCTTCATCGATCTGCACAGAAAATCGCGGAACTGTATTCTTCATAGGAATTGACTGATTGCAATCTGATATGTCACTCTTGAAGAACTGTCTTATTCTTACTGGAAGTACTGAATATGGAACTTCCGATGTAGCCTGTCAAAAAAAAAGTAAAAAGCATTACAAGCTAATTTTGACATTTATTATAATTATTTAAAATAAAACAGAGATCATGAAGCATTTAGTTTGTACTAATTCAAATGGACCCCAGTTCTTGTTGTAGACTTAAAAACTAGCAAAAAATTTCACAGTAGTTAAATTTTATTAAGGTTGGTTGAAATCTTCCGCTCTGTTTATCATGTCTCTTCACATAAGGTTTCTTTCACTTCCAACAAAGATGAAATTCAATGCCGACCTTTTAAGCAAGACTTTCCACTGGCCATCATTAGAAGAGGACTTAAACCAAGTCATTTATAGACAATGGAAATAAATGACTACGACCGACATGCAATATAGCCATACGAGTGGAAACTATATATTTTTCAGGCACAAGAGATCAAAAGAATTAAGACTATTAGAATTAAGAGGCCTTTGCCAATGAAAAAATGGTCGAGCTAATACAGTAATACTACATACTCCAACACAGCTAAATCTGTAGAAATATTTGATAAAAGAGGGAAATAAAAACCAAAAGAAAGAAAAAACTGCCTACCAGAATCATCAAGGATGAGGAGACGCAAATAGACTCCACCTGCTCAACAAATAAGTTCCAGGCATGTGAAGCGCTCTGAGAAACACCTGTGCACTCTCCCATTTCTATTGATTTGCATTGCTGTGAATTGGGCCCACTCCCCTCTTCAACAGCTTGACCATGTACAGGATACGATTTTTCATTTTCAGTAAGTAGATGGTCTGATAAGTCGGAATCACTTTCCTCTGTCATTGGAAGAAGTGTCTCCACAGCCCACAAATCAATTCGTGGCATGAAAACTATAGATGACCCAACACTAGCACATTTCACTGCAAGAGAAAATAAAACTTACTCTTCAATATTCAAAATCGAATTGTAAACTTCAACTGAATCTATAGTTCTCTCTCATGCAGTATAACCACATCATTTTGTAGTTTTTTCTATGGCAATTACCTATACTCTAATTTGCAAATTGAAATATTCCATCAAAGTAATGATCTCATGATACCACTCCTATTCCATGAGCTTAAGCTTAGGACAAAGAGTACCTACTACCAAGTATCAAAGAAATTAATGGAAGTGTTGAAAAGACTTTCTAGGAAAATGAAAAAGAAATATAGGATCAACTGAAGTTCAAACCAAGAGTACTTAAAGCAGGGTAATTAAATACAGTAAGAAAATTTCACCTTGGTAAAGAGAACTCGCAGTAGCACAACTATTGAGCTTAAAGCATGATAACGCAAAATGTTACAGCATGTAGCTCAAAGTCTTTATCCTACTAGCAAGCAAGCAACAAATTCAAAATAATAGAGAGGAACATACTTAATATTTGCGTTATGCCTTGCACCATATCTCCATGCCCTTCTTGTAAAACTGTAGCCAAATCAACCTTCTGAACTTGTACATTTCCAACAAAAAAATGAAGAAGGCAAGAAGCAAGATGCCTTTGCCCAGCTCTGGGATTTCCAGCAATCAATATCCGGAATCCTGATTTGTTTGTTGAGGCAACGGATATATTCCGCAACAAACTCAGGCGTGTGCCACCATGGTGTTTAACAGAAGGCTGAAACTTCAAACTGTGGTCATCATCATGATCGTCATTAAAAGCATCAGAATCACCACAAGTATCATATCCCAGTAAAATGCCAGTGCGCAAAAGCTTTCTCTCTATGTCCTTTGCAACATCTGCTTCCTGAAGTAAGACTGGTATATGGGACCACCAACGATCACTGGGCATCTTCTTCTTATTCAAAGCAGAAACCATCACACTTTCAATCATTCTTGCAGATTTTCTGAGAGGAGCCGGCAACCAGAGGCGTTCATCAAGATAAAGGGAAACAAGCATAGTAGATAATGGTTGTAGCAGACATGGGATAAGATGGGTAGGAAGAGGAGAGCATACTACATCATTAGCAGCTACTCCTGCTTCTCTACGAGAGCAGGGAGGCGGAGAACATGAGAGAGCTGCCAACCAGTCCCTGTCCTCCACTGCAAAGGCAGGAAGAGAGAGGCGCTTGTGGTCAGAAGCATTCTTTCCAGCGGTAGACAAAACTTCTTGCAAAGGGAAATTTCTCTTCAAAGAAATGATAGCCGCTTGAGTACATAGTGCCTGCAGATCTGCACCAGCAAATCCAGCAGTTCTGCTTGCAACCAACTTGAGGATGGATCCAGCAACTGGTTTTGGCCACTTTTGAGTGTGAAGTGAAAGAATGGCAGCTCGGTCCTCCACTGATGGCAGCGGAAAATAGATTTCCCTATCAAATCGTCCAGGCCGCCTCAATGCTGGATCAACAGCATCAGGACGATTTGTAGCGCCTATAACTACAACTGAACCTCGAGATTTCAAACCATCCATTAAAGCAAGTAGTGTTGACACAACTGAACTATGTGTCTGATCTTGCTGCCTTGTTCGAGAAGGTGCCAACCCATCTATCTCATCAAAGAATATTACAGAAGGTTGACATTTCTCAGCAACCTGAAACAAGAGTCTTAGCTGGCGCTCTGAATCACCTACATATTTCCCTAGACAATCTGCACCTTTGCGAGCAAAATATGCTATCCGTTTATCACCACGTGCACAAGCACCTATTAATGCCCGGACAACAAGAGTTTTACCTGTTCCAGGATACCCATGCAAAAGAACACCTCTAGGAGGTGTGAGACCAAGACTATCAAAGAACTCTGGATATAAAAGAGGCAACATGACAACTTCCTTCATGCACCCAATGACATCTTGAAGGCCTGCAACAGATTCCCAACCCTGAAATAGTTTTCCACTCTCTGAGTCAGAGCCTCCAATGTAAACGGGTGCAATTCTCACCAAATCCCGATGAAGCCTCTTACTTTCACGTTTCAAAAACTCTTCATCCTCACCACAATTCTCTAACCATTTTTCTTCTGCCTCAATATCCTTCCGCAAAGCATCATTTGAAAGTTTTCTCGTTTCCATCTTCATCTTCTTAGCCTTTAATTTCTTTATACGGGCTAAATATTGATCACCAAGAGGTTGGAAGAGATTCCGATGATCAGTACAGGCAATAAGAAATTTGCGGTGATCAAATACACAACCATAAGCTCGTGCACAAGGCTGCAGATTACGGAATGACATCAGCCTTAAAATATATATGAATGAGCATACATATTATGTTTGTGGGTGGGTGGGTGGGTAGGTGTGTTGTCTACTTGTCTGTTTACCATAAGCTGGTATAGCAAACAAATTCATATTATAAACTGATAAGCATACGGCAAATAAAATAACCAACCAAGTGGTAAGTTCTTGGACACCGATCAACGCGGCACCCAATTGTAGCTCCTGCCCTTCCACAGCGGGTGCATTTTAATGCTCTCCCTCTGCATAGTGCAGCCCTCACATTTTTTAAGCATCCTAAACCAGCAAAATAAACCTGCAAACACAAATCACATGCATAGAACATCAGAGTTGACCGAGATACCTTAACACAAAATGGAAAATACAGTTCTTAACTTCACCAATGGATCTACCAAGCAGTTAAAGTTTAAACCATATAAGTAAACAATTGCATGCACATACAACAGTCGCTGATGATCAAACAATAAAGGTTTTTGCTTACTTCCTAATTACGTGTTTCACCACAGGTTAAGACAGATGGTAAAATGTAGATACCTAATAATCTGATAAAAACACAGCATCAGTGAATATTCATGCAAAGGAAACATTCTTCTAGATCAGCAAGGTCAGATAGCTAACAAATCCAGATTAACCAACCATTATTTTAAACAAAATAAGTAAAGAGCAAGCTACTGTAAAAAGGTACAACTAAAAAAACTTAATAGAGTGGGGAAAAAACTTTAACTGTAATTTCACAAAGGTAATTGGGTTCATCAACTAATCCCTCAGATTTGAGAAGATAAACTGAGGGTCGGTATTTTAGAACTTCAAAATAACGTTTAATTAAGGACAATCCAATCTGTAAAGAAGTTACAGAAGAAGCAAATGAGAGGACAGTAAGGAGACACATGATGAGACTTTTACACAAAGCCTACAGTAACACACGGAAACAGAAAGCATTTTAGTTCAAACCCATTTCGCCAATCTAATAATTATGACTAACACTTCTTTATTGGAAGACTCTTGCATTTATATACATATCATGACAATAAGGTCCAACACATTATGATAAATACCATGTCTTAAAGAACTTTATATGTTGATCTGGTAGAGTACTTTCCTAGTGCAATAGGCATGTCGCATGCCAGAATACCAAAATTTGACATCATCGTCATGAAAGAGTAAGGTATATATATGCTTGTAATAAGTATCAAATGCAATGGTATTGTTATAATTAAAGCATCCAAGAATACATAAGATTCAAATGTAAGAAAAGCTCCAAGAAGGAGCCAACGCGTAAAAAAAGCCTTGATCTGTACAGGACCAACTTCAAAGTTTATCCTTTCATGATACAATACAGGGCCAACTTTTCGGTTGAAGGAGAAGTAAAAAGTTTACAAACAAAAAAATGGTCTTGAACTTTTGAAAGGAGATTTATCTTGAATAACTCATTACCAACCTGGTTGCCAACCACTACTGATAACAAACAGCACCAACATGTTCATAAAGATTAAGATATTAAATGTAAAATACAGATAGTAGTATGGTACTATGATGTAAAGTACAAAACGTTTAAAAGTTAGTCAAGAAACCCCACCTCTGGACTCCACACAGCACAGTTTTGATGGACCCATATTCCGGCAATACCATAACGATCATTTACAGGACCCAACAGACGTCCAAGCCAACCAGGTTCATCACCAAAACCATCCCATAGGTTATAGTTAAGTTCCTCAGAGGCTGAAGAGCCACAGTATGCCTCATTCTCGCTCTCACCCGTATCAAGAACTAATCTTTTTGGAGGTTTACCATCAGTCCCTCCCCCACACAAACCACACGTTCTGCCCTCCTTAATGTGTAGCTTGCCAAGTGTATCACTTTTCCTATGCTTAAACTTATCCACCTTCGCATTATTCATATCTATTGCAAGCTCTTCATCAGGCTTGGACGAATCAGAATCCTTCCCTTCATGACACCCTGCTACTTCCACTTCATTTCTTGAAACTCCAACAGCTTCTGACACCCTAGCATCCCCTTGATTTTCTCCTTCCTTCACACACTCTAATTGTTTCACATGCTTACCATTACTTGCTTCTTGAATCACGCACTCAGATTGCTCCACCTGTTCATCAGCATGTTCCGTTGGCTCCACATTGTCCATAGCTTCCACATGCTCATCAGCATGTTCCATCGTCTCCACATTGTCCATAGTTGCCACAAGCTCATTAGCATGTTCCATCGTATCCACATTGTCCACAGTTGCAACAAGGTCATCAGCATGTTCCATCACCTCTGCATTGTCCATTGTTGCCACAATGCTCATTAACAATGCACGCTTCCTCTAATTTTGAATTCTCCCCTGCCTCAGTTATCATTGTGGAATCATCGTCCACTATTTCCATTTCCTTGCCACCATCCATTTCGCTATCCAATTGCATAGCAACATCTTCATTCTTAATTATCACCTCTAGCTTCCTCCTCCACAAGTTCATCTTTATTCGCGGGCAACTCCTCTCTCTGTTCATGGTCTGAACTATTTGTTGCTCTAATCCTCCCTGGTCCCTTTGATTTGACAACTCTATGCCTCCCACTTTCAAATTCCCCATTCTTATCATTCGATCGAGTCCCCATCATCTGCTCTTCCCTTCGGCATTCACTCACCTCTTCATAAAGCTTCCGTTTCCCTTTTACCCCAAAACCCACATTTCTACCCCTTGATCTCAATCTCGATCTCCAACTTCCCGGCGTTTCCAAATCCTCCTCCTTCACACTCATCCCAGCACCCACCACTACATTCTTATCAACCTTCCTGCCGCTTCTTCGGCGGTGAAGGCGAGACATCAAGCAAAATCGGGGCACGGCGAGCCCTCCCGCTCCGACGCAGCTCCACCTCAGCACTCCCCGATCTCCCCGGCCCGGGTCCCACCCCACCATTATGGTTCCTCTTATACTCCTGCTCACATATAGCATCAAGCCTCTTGTGCTTCTTCCTAAGCCGAGGTCCGGACCGATTCGACACCGTACTTTGCTTCGACGAGAGTCGCATGGCAAGAAGCACACGAAAATCCTATACAAAACTCTACAAAAACCGTGCCTATGTATATATCTGCGATTATATGCACAAAAATCTGAAGCTTTGGGCAAATGGGTATCGATTAATCGCTTTGTTCTTCCAATTAGGTGCCCGATTCAGCTGGATTTATAAAAGAGAAGCTGTATTGAAGCAGAACAGAGGCCTAAGGGACTCACCCGGACATCTCTGAGTCGATCGGTTTTCTCCATGGACGATGAACAAAAAGAAATTCGAGAAAGGAACAGAAACCCTAGAAATCAATTTGGGGAAGCATGCTGAATCCCCCTTCAGCTGGTGAGAATTTTGGGGGTGTTTCCGGAAGATTGGGTCTTCTGGGTTCGGGACTCTGCGTCCTTATGAAGGTCTCTCTTTCTTTCTCTTCCTCTGAAATCTTCTCTGTTTGCTGTTTAGTTATAGAGAGAGACTTAGGGCGAAAGAGAGAGCGCGCATGGAAAAGAGCTCCTCACTGATTTTTATTTTTTTTCGGTTTCTTTCCCACGCGCACCCAACATGCGTGTAAACAAGTTTTGCGATAATCGACATCTCTTCTTCTGTTCTGTTGAAGAAATACGATATTAGAATTGGAAACAAACTCTAAACTTGTGACTTTTAGCGTACGAATAAATGTTTTTAATCATTTAAGTTATAAATTTCTTACAAACTTAAATCAAGAGAACAAATATGTAATTTTTTGTGTGTACTAAGGCTTTTTTTTTTTTTTTTTTGAGTTAAAAGATTCGGATAAAATTTTAACAATATTACACTTGTGTATTTAATTTTATTTTTGTATGTATTATTCATGTTGATTAATGAACATTATATTTATTTTCTAAAAAGAATCAAAAAATCAAATGATTTATGAGAATACATAAACGATACCAAAAAAAAAAAAAATTATGTAGAAATACAAGTTGTTAATCATTTCAAATTCCCGTACAAAATTTTCAATCTTTAACCCAAAAGAGCAAATGCCATTTCTTTTTGCTTTTGATACGAGAGCAAACAGTTTTATCAGATCATATGATTTCAAATTAGTGGGAATTGGAATTGAGATTTGGTATTTTAGGTGAAGGATTTGGATTTGGTTTGGTTCATGGGAGGTTGAGTACACGCGCGTTGGGAAAGAGTAGGGGGTGTGCAACTTATTAGTGAAATTTGCTCAATTTTGCTCTAGTGTATTTGTGATGCATGTTGTTGCCGCCAAATGTGTTGGATTCTAATTTTCGATGTAGCAAGAGAGAGATGGGGTGGGAGTGTTTGGCTTTTGGCATATGTCACAACTCACAAGGGGATTCAAAGAAGCACCAACGGCTCTTTTTTAAGTGCCAAAAATGTAGTGTGCATGATGCTTTATTAGTTTGGTATTGTTGTGCTTTGAAAAAAAACTGTTTTTGTTATGCTGGAAGAATAAACTCATTTTTACTACTTCACGTTTTCAACTTTTTTTCACCCAAAACTGTGAAAATAAGTTGTTTTTAAGTGTTTACGAAACACCATTTTCAGCTCAGCTTTTTTTTATATCCACTTTTTATAAAAGTACCTCAGTATCAAACCAGTACATAGGATGGTGTTAATTCATAGACTCCCCTCTATTTACGACTAGCGAGTCAAATGAATTAAAAATGATCAAAGAACATAAATTAACAGATGATGTATGAAAGCTAAAAAGGGTGTGGCACCGCCTAATTATATATTTCGCCAATAAAACCAAGTAAAGAAGAAATTACAATCCTCAAGCAAAGGATCAGTAATATAGTGAGGAGATTTCTCAATCCGAATCCTTTATGTAAAAGTAATAATATTCTAACGAATAGGGTGTTGAGTTTCTATGTGCGACTTGCATTTGAAACTCCCCCTCCCCTCTATTATTGTAATAGTTTCAAACCTTCTCCATCCCCTTAATAATAATAAACTACCAAAAAAAAAAAAAAAGACAATAAAAAATGGGAAGTGATTTTCACACTTCTGTTTAATCTTGACCGTCAATTCGTCTGACCTATTCAATCCGATTTGTGAGAAGATAAAAAAAATGTGTGAAAATCACTTCTCTACAAAAATAACTGGTCACTGGGTGAGTATGAGCAAAGAATTCATACTCAAGATTACCAAGAGGAATATATGATTTACTCATGCTGTATTTATGGTCAAACGATGTCGTTTATAGATTTGAGATTTAGCCCCATGGGAAACTAGAAAATACGAAAAGATTTAGGAATTAGCATTTAGGGTTTAGGTTATATCTAGAGAAGTAATTTCTGCACATCTCTTTTTTTTTTTTTTTTTTTCCTTACACACTCCTGTTTATTGCAAGGAGATGTTTGGGGACACCCAAAAAAAAAACTGGGGTGTCGAGAAAAAGAGTGCGGAAAACATTTTCTATGTCGAATAAAAAGTTAAGACGCGTCAATTCAATTCTCCATCCCCCAATATGAATTTGCATAAACAAAACAAAAACAAAAAACTTTGGTGGTAGAAGTGGAGCAACAGAATCACTTCAGATCAGTAGTGGTAAGAAATCAGGATTTTGAAGTGAAGAACTGGAAACCTTTGGTTCCTTCATTGTACAACTAAGTTAATTTTTTAAGAAATCAAACTAGAAACAGCTACCTAATTCTGTTCTTGAACAGAAATTCGACATTCTCAGGAGAATCGGGATTCCTCCTTGCGCTAATCTGTATAACTGCACCATCAGCGAGCATGTGTTGTAATACCCTTGCTATGTTCTTTGAGTCATCAAATCCAAGATGGTGACTTCCCAACAATGGTATCTGAAGTTCCTTCATCATCGTCATCATTCCTGTGGCCTGCAATCCATAACGAAGCAAAAGTCTTAATGTTGTGTGTTGGAATATACTTCAGAAGAAAATGTTTGGATTTAAACTTTTAGTGTAAATTGTTTAATAAGCTTTCGAATTCTTTTGATATTAATAGAGTCCACGAGTGAAGGTGGACGGGTTCTTTTCTTTCAAATTACTCTCTAAACACTTCAATATAGAAAGCTCTTCTCAATCTCTAAGACAAAATGTATCAAAGCCATCTTTTATGCTTTTTAAACATCTAGATAAACGATTTAAATTAGGTAATCAAATTGAATCCCTCATTTTAAATGCACTTATCCAAATGCAATCTAAAACGATTCACACAGAAAAGATCCTAAGAAAATCATAAAAATTCAATCCCTATTTGATGTATCAGTGAATAAGTGATTTTTCATAGAATTATGCTTGATCGCACAGTTAATCGAAAATACATGATATGGTAGACCACTGGAATCAAACAGATTTGGTTCAAGAAAAAGGAAAACTTAAGATAATACGCCATACATGGACAAAGTGAGACTAAACCACAGAGAAGCAAACTGAATATAAGCCAAACCAGGGGAGGGATTAAACAAATTCTCTTTGTTATAAAATTGATTATGATGTGGAACCAGAAAAACTCGGAATGCAATTGTTTCATGCTCAGTGATCAAGAAGCTTAGCATTGACGTGACCCTCTCAATTAATGGAAACTAATACACTGATTCTATGACTTGTAGGTTGATACAATTTAACATCATCAGGCCAAACCAATACCACACCCAACATAAGTTCAAACTTCAACTGCATCAATATTCAGTATTAATTAGATTAACGCCATGTTTTGGTTAAACCATTCATCCCTCAACTTCCATATCACATATCATGAGCAAAAGGCATGTGACACACTTTCTTAAAGATATGAAGATATAGTGTGAACTTACCCTTCTCTTGTAAAAATTTAGATAGACATCTTTGATATTGATCCATTCCATAAAATATGAGGGAAGCTTCATCCTTGACACTTTGCATTGCTGAGGAACTTTTGTTTTCAAATCCCAGTTTCCACTGATAATAGTTCAACAAGATAGAACAGAAAATCCAGAAATGATTCACCTTGATTGAATATCGTAAGAGAATATTTCCTTAGCAATTTTTAGGGGAAATCGTGGAGTAAGGGGCACCACTGAAACTTGAAGGTACTTACACCAAATTTTACTGGAAAATAATACTTCTATACGCCATACTCAATATCATAGCTAAACTAGCATCATTTACAATTTAAAGTTGAGCAGAAAGAGAAAAGGTTTGCTATCATAAGATACAGGCCAGATATATTAATGAAAAGTGAGATTTACCAAGTGACGAATGCTGCTCGATTAAGACACCCACCCAACTCCTCTCCCCACAACTGATGCTGAATTAACCATGCTTCAAATTGTTGAAGAACATCCTTAAATGGTATAGCTGTATCATGCCAAACACTGCAAATCTGTATGTCATATTTATGTACCACTACAAGCATAACGAGAAAACTCCAAATGTAATTAACTAAAATTATTACAATATGACGATAACTTTTCAGTATGAGAACTAACATATGAAATAGTGTTCAACTTAACACTACAATTCTTGTTTATAGTCTACTTTCTCTCATGGGAACAACCCTTATTCAATTATTGTGATTGCTAGTCCGGTATTGAACCACTCTCTTAGAGAGTTATCCTCTTCACAACATTCTTCTTAGGCTTTTTAACCCAAGCACTCACCCCAAGAAATTTCTTCCAAATCAGCAATTTCTAGGTCTGCAAACTTGTCTTCTAGTTCAAGACCCACAAATGCAAAATATTTCATTCTGACTGGGTCCATTTAGTTTCTTTCTGGTAGTGAAGTTGCTAACAAATTTAATGATACCAACTTTTTTCTTTTTGTATCAGATCTTCAGTTTCATGCCATTCGTTTTCCAGATTACATCAGATAACATCAGCTCTGTAGTTGTATCAGATCGGAAATATTTTAATAAGCTACTAGCTACTGTGAACCAAAAATTGAATGGCACTTGACAACAAAATTTTATCACAAAAACATATGTGATATGACAAATAAATAACTACCCATAACCATGTTAAAATATTTTTGTCTTCATCTAGCTTTCATTACCCTTCTTTCTAAATTTGTTTGCATAGCTTGATCTACCAGTGTTTTGACTACTTTCTTAATCTGCCAAAATGTGATAAACATGAAGCATAAGTGCCACGTGGTCACAACTCACAACTAAATTACTTGCATACCGATCAACTCCAAATTTGCCATACTTTCCTTCAATATATTCATTTATTCTTGCCTCGCTCATCTCTGTTGGCCTCACAAATCTGCAAAGGAATAATGGAAAAAGTTAGAAAACAAAATTACTGTTCTAAATACTTGTGCAGGAGCACAATGAAAGGAAAACAAACAAACAAGAACCAAACAAAATAAATTATAAAAATAGAATTCGTACGGAAATCAGCAATAGTAATGGTTTTCCCCTTAATTGTCTGAGCATTGGTTCTTTACAGAATACCAGACAGATTCATTGTTCCTTTGGCAACATGTCCAATACTTATAAAAGAAGTATGAAAAATGTACCAAAGCAGATCCTGCTAGTAAATGGGGAATGTAAAATAAGCAATTGGTAGTTTGCATCATATGCTCCTGGTATACATTAGTTTTATAGCTTTGAAAATTTTAAATCACCCTCAACTATCGTATGCATGAAACAGAAAACAACAACAATATAATCTCTAGCAGGAAAGGCAGATAAGTAATTGAATTGCACTAAAATGTGTTGAGGAGGTGCAGTAATACCTGTGGAAAAAATCCACGACATTCATGGTTTTTGCATCAATCATCAGAACTGGAAACTCAAGAATTTCAACTTTTCCCTCTAAATCAAGTACAAGAAAAAAATCTAGGTTCTGAAAGCGGATGTTGTTTGACATGGGATTCGTCACTTCAAGATCTCTGGAGCAGTTATGATTGAACTTCTCCATGTGCATAGGATCCTCCATCTTCAAAACAAAGTAACTCTAATTAAATTACAAGTTCTTGCTGTAATTTGAATAAATTAAATCATCAAACATGAATCCTTTTCCCGTTTAGTTATTTTCCTTCTAAGACAACCTGTGACTATCTATGTCAGAAACTGGTAGTTTTTCCCTTTCTACAATGCCAATATATGGCTAGTGACACTTTCAGCAGCTAACCGAAACTCTAATTACACCAATATGCAATACGCTACTGTTTGATCTAAGAGCAAATCCAATATGACATTTAAAGAACAGTAGAAATGTACTAATGCTTATCATGATGAACAAAAAAAAAAAAAACCCTGCTGAAATGCCAGCAATGATAACTGCAATGATACACATCACTACTAATTCTTTGTTTGCAATGCCAAATAAACACACACACACACACACACACAAAGACCAAAAAAATCTGTGCGTGTGCGCATTTGATAGAGTTAAGGAGGCAGAAAGTGAAAGAATTGAAGAAAGAGGGAAAGAAATAACAGTAACTCAAGGGTAGAATTCGCTGGATTTTGCTAGAACGGAAGATACTCTAAAAGGTTGGATTTACCAATGGATGAAACAAGGAATCACAGGCTTCAAAACACACATCTCCCACACGTATTTGTTTGGCATATATCATTATTTAACAATATGCAGCTTTTATCTAAACAGACGACAACATTCAAGCGATAATTTCAGCTCACTGAAACTTCAATTCCACTCACACAGAGAAAAAATGCAACAAATCCAAAGAGCACCGTAAAGTAAATCACTTTGTCTGAGGCATTCAATCAAACACATGGAATGCAAGATAATACACTACTCAATTACAATGCAAACAGTATCCGAAAAACGTCTCAAAAGCTAACTAAACAATTGTTTCAGAATATCAAATCATCATTAGAGTTGATTCGTGGGCTAAGATTGAAGACTTGAGGGCATTGGTGGTCCGGAGCTGGAACATACCATAGTGCACTTCCCTTGCGTGTAATACAAACACATGGGCTTCCACCGTTTGGCGGTCTTTTGAGGAGGCGTGACCCGAGGAGCCGGTGAGTCTTGGGTTTCGGAAGCAGAAACGGAGGCAAGGGCGGCGAGTGAACGGACCGGAGGACGAGTGAGGAAGGGAGAAATGGGAAGGAAGGGTTTGAGAGTGGTTGAGAAGAGTGAAGGAAGAAGTGGGAGAGTGAAAAGTCTGGCTCTCGGAAACGCCATTACTGCCGCTTTGCCTTCAATTCTCTGAGTCTCGGTCGCTCTGTGCGTGGCGGTTTTGCTTAACGGCCCCTTGGCGGGTAACCATGAAAGGAAACTAGGAAAGGATGGGAACACCGGTCAAATGTGAACCGGTCGGCTCATATTTTGAACCGGTGATGATCTGGTTCTGGCAACTAAACCAATTCGCGTTCTTGAACCGGTTTTTATACTAATTTACTAAAGAATTGTAACTGAACCAAAAGTGCAATTAGTCCGATTAGCGTATTTAGATAGGAAAATGATTTAGGCACATTTTTTTTCTTAACTTCGGCACCTCTCTAAAATGTATAATTTTAATCATTATCTTCGTGTTTGATATATTTAATTTAAATGTCAAATATAAACACGGAAGAAGAAGAGTGAAAGTCATTTTTAACTTTAAACCAATTGAACCAACCACATCTATTAATTTTTTGAGGTTTTGAACATTTTACACCCTGAACTTGCAAGTTATTGTCAATTTTTAGTTTTTTACTATGAACTTTTATTAATGGCCAATTTCCTCCTCAACTATCAAATATTCACCAATTATTCTGTCCAATTTGCCACCTAAATAACATGGAAATGACGTTTTACCCTCTTACATGACTCATGTGTTGTCCACGTGACAAATATGAGTATCCCCAATATCGTGACTTGATGGTTAAAATGGTAAATACGTCATTACCCTTGATTGGCAAATTGAAAATTGAATCACCTCCAGTATCTGATATTGAATACAAGGAACTGGAAGTGCTTTCAACTACAACATCTGCAATATCATCAAAACAGGTCACTCTACACAAAACCATTCTACAGAATGCACATGGCTGCTTCACGACGACCTACAAGCATGTCGAAATAGCCAAGCTGAAATGTTGTTTTTGAGACTTTTCACATCCCGAAATCATCCAATTACTCTTCAAACTCGGTGACATCCATCACATCAGTCATGACACTCTGATTTTGAATTTTACGCAAGTCATCAATCTCCGCAGCCAACAATGGATCATGCTTCACTTTATCTAGCTGCAATTTCGCAGGGCAAGCTGACAGGAGGAAAAAGCAAAGGGTTAAGCGATCTCACCAAAGGTATAAGTCCGTCTCATGTTGGGGAACAAAAATTTTAAATACCTGCAACAGGGCAGCGTGTGTTGTTTCCCAGTAAGTCTCTGCTCTTTTGCAGATTTACTGTTAAAAGTTCTACGAAACTATAAACAATTGCCCAACAAACAAGAACATTATGACGAAATCAGTTTCATAAGAACTTACTTTCCGCTACTTCCACTTTATATTTTTATACCAGAGTCATAGAAAGATTGCAACAATCCTGTAACTTCACGTTTACAAACAAGCAAAGACGATTAAGCACGAGTCAAACTTATGAGGCACAGAATGATGGTGAAACGAAACATGCAGCAAAACAAGGATTTGAAACCCGAATATCAGTAGTAACCTTAACAACAGTCAACACAAACGACTGATCCTACAGGTTTCAAAATGCATCAGATGAGGTATAGTTTAGATACCAATGAAGCACTTAATATTCCTTCCCAAGCATGGAGAATCATGTGTCGTAAACTAGATATCTCCATTTAGAGTAACCACAGGATTATCGTACAACAGAACCTATTGTCATAAGCTAAAGAATGCCTTTATCTACCCCTAAACATGCATAAGAAAAACTACGATAAACAGTATTTCCACGGATCATATTCATTCTGGACAGATATAACACCTAAAACTATCAATTTGCTTGATTTAGACCTGTTATAATCCAATAAGTGGTTTACCTCCCCAACACTTGCCTGAATTCTTTGCCTATTATTTGCAGTTCTAATTCTTTACATATTCTAGCATGCAGCAACAAAGTTACAGTGGTCATTTACAACAGTCTAAGGATTGGCAAATATTAGTAAGAAGAGAGCTTAATAAGAAATACACTTGCTCAGTTTAGCGAAAATATGTACCCTTTTAACCATAGGCATCGCTAGCATTCCCTTCAATGCCAGAAATAAAATAATTACACAAAATATTGCTAAGCTAGGCAGAAAAAGTGTTTAAAACAGTTGTTTGGTTTCTAACTAGTTGGCATCATTCCATGTGTACTTGCCTGTCATAAGAAACTCGAGGCAAAGTTTATTACAAGAAACCGAATAAGAAGCAACATCAAAAGTCATACCCAGACAGCTTCCCGGAATTCACGCATTAGCGGATGGTTTTGGGGAACTGAAGATGAGTTTGCCTTCAGCTGTGCAACCTCATTCTTGAACAACTTATCAAAATCAGTAAGCTGGTCCATCAACATCAAATAACCATATCTGCTTGGATGGATTGGAGAAACAACAAATAAATAAGCAAAGTCATTGAATCAGAAACTGTGCAAGAAGCAGAAAATTCCTAGCACCTCTGGCCCAGGTTGGTATATAACTCCAACAGATTCAATTGCTGACGAAAAATGCGAACGGTCTTCATAAGTATCCACCAATTCAACGGCATTTTCGAGCTCTTTCACCTGTGACCTGTCACATTTTCGGGTTTTTCATATCTCGACAAATGCTTCATATCTTGAATCTATGATCTATGATGGGACATTTTAATCACATTGAAATTCCATTTTCTCTTAACAGTTTCTAGCTAAAAAAATTCAAATGCCAATAATTAGATAAAACCCAAAACTTAAAATTACTCAAAATTTCAGAAATTTGATAAAGTTTCAGGCCTTTAGCAGCAGCACCTACAAATTTCAGAAACTAAAACCACTTCTCGTACAAAAAAATTAAATTAAATTAAATTACATTAAATTGTTTTTTAAGGAAATTACCCTCTCAAACTGCTTAGCCCTTTCAAAATCAACTGCAATTTTCTTCATCAAACTGAAAGCTTTCCCAATATCTGAAAGCAGAGATAATCTTCCATAAGAAAAACAATAAATTGCTATTTTTTCCTTCAAAAATAAAAAAAGGCATAAGTCCTAGGAGCTTACGGAGATAAGAGACTGGTTGTCCTCGTGGAGATTGGATGTGGCGGTTCGGATCCGTCCGGTGACGCCATAAGTGCGAGATGTCAAGGCCATGGAGGGACGTGGGTTTTAGGGTTTTTCCACAACCGGGTTTGGGCGAACCAGTTGGCTGATTGGTGGGTTCTTCGCTGGGGAGTCGAGGCAACAGTTCAGGAGAACGGACGGAGGGAGATTTTGGAGGGAGATTGAGTAGAAAGAACAAAAAGTCCGAAACGGCATCGTCCTTGCTCTTCCGAAATGCGACGGCCAAACTTAATTTCACTTGAGGGTAAATTATACAAAATTACCTCACAATTATTGATCGCACTACAATCTCATACTTCATATTTTAAATATTGCAATGTCATATCTTAATTTATGAATTTGTTGCAATGTCATACATCCGTTAATTAATCTGTCAAATTAATCATTAAGTAATGACGTAGTAAATGCAAGCCCATATTTTGCTGACATTGCAGGCAACTTGTGCCAACTAATAAAAATATTAGGGTAAATTATACAAAACTACCTTAACTATGGGTCGAACAACACTTTCATACCTCATCTTTTAAAATTAACAATGTACATTCCTCATCTTACTAATTTGTGTCAATGTCAGACCTCCTGCCAGTTTTTCTGTTAATTTCTCTGTTAAATACTGACGTGGCCAGAGACAGGACCCACTCACTAATCCAACTGGATTAAAAAATAATTAAATAATTTTTAATAATTAAATTTTAAAATTTTAAAAATAAATTTATTTTTTTATATAAAATTGTGGGATCCACCCTCTCTATCCTCTCTCTTTCGCCGATCTCTCGTCTTTCTTTCTCTGGACACCTACATTCCCAAAACCCTTCCCACCCGTCCCCTCACCTCACCCTTTCTTCCCCTCACTCCCATCTTCTTTGCACAACCTCTCCCTCCAGACGCTGCCATCTATCCTCTCCATCCAGAAACTCTCCCTTCTAGACCCCCCTCGACCTCTCCATCTCCCACCTCTACTTCACCACTCTCCTGCCCACCGCCCCCTCCCTCTCAATCACCTACCTCACCATCAACTACAACCCCGTCTACGCCACATCGAGCCACGAGAATGCCTCTGGATCCAACACGCCAACATTGTCATCGGCATCGCCATCAACAATGCCCTAATTTACTTAGTCTCCTGGGACAAGAGCCTGAAGATTTGGTGGGACTTGGATCTCTGCTACGTCGAATGAGGACGCCGTGAACGCGTTGGCAGTGTCAAACGACGGGACGATGTACATCCGGTTGATGGATTGTCAGATCTGGGTATGGTCTAAACCGTTCGAGGAAGACGGAGAAGACGGGAACATGGTGGGATCTGGGTTGGGTGGTTTTGGTTTTGAGTTTGGGGAAGACAGGGAACAGGGGGAAGAAAGGGTGAGGGGGAGGAAGGTTAGGAATGGGGGACGGGTGGGAAGGGTTTTGGGGATGCAGGTGTCCAGAGAGAGAAAAGAGAGAGATGCGAGAAAGAGAGAGAGAGAGAGAGGAGAGATAAAGGGTGGATGTTGCGTCGAGTCAGTCAAGGTGCACGAGGACACCGTGAACACATTGGTGGTGTTGAATGACGGGATGGTGTACACCGAGTCGACGGATTGTCAGATCTGGGTATGGTCCAAATTGTTCGGGGAAGACGGAGAAGACGGGAGCGGGGTGGGATCTGGGTTAGGTGGTTCTGGTTTTGAGTTTGGGGAAGACGGGGAGCGGGGGAAAGAAAGGGTGAGGGGAGGAAGGTTGGGGAAGGGGGACGGATGGGAAGGGTTTGGGGATGCAGGTATCCAGAGAGAGAGAGCGAGAGAGAAAGAATGGAGAAAGAGGGTGGATCCCACAATTTTATATAAAAAAATAATTTTATTTTAATTTTTAAATATATTAATTATTTTTTAATCCAGTTGCATTAGTGAGTGTGTCCTGTCTCTGACCACGTCAGCATTTAACAAAGAAATTAACAGAAAAACTGACAGAGGTTTGACATTGGTACAAATTTGTAAGATGAGGTATGACATTGTCAATTTTAAAAGATGAGATATGAAAGTGTTGTGACACCAATAGTTGAGGTAGTTTTTTGTCATTTACTCAAATATTTAATTATTAAAATTATTTTAATTCATTAAAAATATTATTTTAAAAAATTCATTAAAAAAAATAAAATAATAATAAAAATCTACCTCACTGGCCCTCACCCTACGCAACCCAGCCTTCCCCTTACTTCTCTCTCGCCACGCATATCAAACCCAATTTCTGAATCGTAAATGGCAACACAGCAACAAAGCAAAAACCAAATTCAGCCAAGAAAATCAAAGAAAGGCCATGTAATTTACATTAGAGAAAGAAAAGGAAACCAAATTAAGCAAACAAGCAAGAATGGGCTGAGGAGCGAATTTGGGGTAAATGCAGGAGGAGTCGAGGAATAGGAGCTTTTTGACTTTGAGTCGGTAACTGCTATCAGTGACGTTGGTTTAGATCTGGAGATTGACGAAGATGAAATCCGCTGCATCGGTGTTATTGGCGTGAATGCCGTCGACTTTGGTGGTGGGAGGGAGCGGGGGCTAATAAGGAATCGAAGTCGGCTTCGTAGGTGAGGTTAAGCTCGGAGTGCATGCGGAAGTCGAGATTCGTGAAGCCTAGAGCTTGGAGCTTGCTAACGATGACGAAGCCGACGAGGCCGTTGTTGCAGCGTGAAAGGGAGAAAGGGAGAGAGGATATGGGAAGAAAGAGGAAAGAAAGAGGGGTGAGATAGGTGCTACGTCAGCAAAATATGGCCATGCATTTGCCACGTCATCACTTAACGGTCAATTTGACGGATTAATTAATGAAGGTCTAACATTGCAACGAATTCATAAATTAATGTATGATATTGCAATGTTTAAAATATGAGGTATGAGATTGTGATGCGATACATAGTTGAGGTAATTTTGTGTAATTTACCCTTCATTTTAATACAATGCTTTACATAAAGAAGTAATAAATTAATATATATTAACTCGTCATCACAAAATTTTAACACATTATTTCTACTATCTCGACTACTTAATATAATTTGCAAGTGACCTTTTACTATAGTAGTGGAAAAGTGTTGAGCCTTGCATGACGACGTGAGTTCAAACCCCGTTGTTAGCTAATCTAATACATAATCTAACAAAATCTATCGTTAAAAAAAAAAAAAAACTATTTAATATAGTTTTCTTTGTCAACCAAAAGAGGATGAAAAAAATATTTATTTTAGCACTTCAATTCAATAAAATTATTAAAAAGGAAAAAAAAAATGAACATTAAAATAATTTCACAAAATTTTTTTTTAACTTTTTTTTCTCTTCCCTCACTACATGTCGTCAAGGGAAAATGATATTTGTATAGAGTGATTTTGTATAAAATCAATTAAAAGTTATGATATTAACAATAGGTCAATCAAATTTATTGGAATTATAAATATGTCAATGAGACTTTAAGATACATTAAAACACCTCAATCAAATTAAAATTACAAATGATGTCATTGTCATTTAAAACACCAAATCTTTTCATCTCCCTTATTGTAAATTGTGCAGCAGCCATAAAACACTCTTAGACTTCAACCTCCACACCTGCCACCACCTTCAACCTCCATTACTTTAACCTCCCCCGCCTCCCACCACCTTCATCATCCGACGAACGATTCCGACGAACAATTTGCGTTTGAGCTAATTCCAACGAACAATTCAAACTTGCGACTGAGAAATCACGATCAAGGTAATTTGTTTCTTCCTATTTTCTTCTTGTTCTTCAATTTTTAAGTTTTAGGTTATCTAAGTTGTGTTTTTGAGAGATTTGGTGTACTTTTGCACACTATACCTTTTGGTTTTGAATTTGAGCTTGTTTGGATGTTAAAATTGGTTTGAGCATATAACAAATTTAGTTCGTTTCGACATATTTGTTGGCTCTGTGTATGGTTATTCATGGTGGTTATGTCATTTAGTTTAATCGTCGCTTCCCGTGTTCTGTGATTTTGCGTTCAAATTCAAATAGGTTTGTGGATTCATACATTGCAACGCAATGTTTCTTGTTCTGTGGATTGAGACACTACGTTGCAGTGTCAGTTTCTTATTCTATGATTGTGCATTGAGATTCAAATAGGTTTGTGGATTCAGACACTTCATTGCAGTGTCTGTTTCCTGTTATGTGGATTCAGACACTTCGTGTTCTGTGATTGTGCATTGAGATTCAAATAGGTTTGTGGATTCAGACACTGCAACACAGTGTCTATCTTTTGTTCTGTGAATTCAGACGCTTCGTTGCAGTTTATATTTTATGTATGTGCTTTTACATTAATGGATTCAGACATATAGTATTAATATCACTAACACAAACTTTATATTTTTTTTCCTTTTACAGTTAAAACATGTCCCCAAAAAAAGTTAAAGGGATACATAAACAAGCGAGAGAGAAAATGATGGATATTATTGATTTGCACTCAAGAGGATGTTACTGATTTGCACAATGGAAAGTGTTGTTAGTTTTATGTAGCCTCTCATGGAAAATTTGGTTCTAGTTAGGCTGTTTTGTGATCTATATTTTCTAAGTCATATATATCTCTACTGACCATATATATGGTTCTAATTAATATGAAAAAATTTCCATGGGGTCAACTTTATTTTTCGTGGATATGAACCCTTATCAGGTTCTACCATAAGGGGCTGATAGGATTTCGAGTTGGGCAACGAGTTTTGATAGAGAGTAGATAAGAATCAGAGAGGGGAAAAAATAAAAAAATAAAGAAATAAAGTCAAGAGAGAGTGGTATAAGGGTATAATAGTTATTTTTCTAACTAGCTTAAATCCATGTGACATGCTTTATTGACCTATGAATAATTATTATAAATATTTGATTGATTATGTCCTAAAAGAAAATTGAGTATTGATTTATGACTAATTTGTAAAGATTATTGACCTTTAGCTAAATAACCTATTTGTATATCACGTTCTCTCTCTCTCTCTCTCTCTAAATCACAAGTTTTTTTTTATCTCTCCCTCTAAAATGAAAAAAAATTCAATAAAAATCAAGTTTACTCACATTTCTAGGATGAAAAAAATATTTATTCTACCACTTCAATTCAATATAAATATTAAAAAAGAAAAAAATGGACATTAAAATAATTTCGTAAATTTTTTTTTTTACTTTTTTTTCTCTTCCCTCACTACATGTCGTCAAGGGAAAATGATATTCGTAAATTTTATATCACGTTCTCTCTCTCTTTCTCTAA